AGATTTTATTAAACCATTTGAATTTGGACCTCGGTACGAGTAACGGCAATAAATTATCCTGAATCAAATACAATAGAGTTCTATTTTCTATAGGTTAACATAATGCCGAAAGTGCCACTTACTACACTAACTAGGCTGGAAATGGTGTTGGGCTTAACTTCTTATTAGTTATTTATTGATTACTAAGCAGTCACGTACTAACTTCTATTAGTTATTCAACTAGCAATTATGGGGATTACAACTTCATAATTATTTAACTCACAATAAATAGTAAGGGGTTACAACTAATATTACCGGGGCGTTGACAAGGAAACATCGTCCCGGTATTCAAATGCTTAAGACCCCGGTATCCAAATGGTTACTGTAAAACTCCATACGGAGACACTGTCTGATTCGATGCTCAGTAATCTCTTCTCATCTTCAATTCTCACTTCTATGATAACAAGCAAAACTTTACGGGTTATAATTTACCAGTTACTCAAGAAGCAATAGTTCCTGGTCATTACAGATATTACTATCCGTTTTATGCCCCTGCGGTTACGGTCCGCGTCGTTTGTCATCATGGCGTGACGTTTTTACTGTATATCAACAACATCACGAATTTTATGAGTTTTGACTATTGCCGAACAGAATACTCGCTCATTTCCTTGTGAAATTTCGCGAGGGCACGCGAGGACTGACCTTGTTTCGTGGGTTGTTTTTTATATTATCGGAAGGGCTGGTTAGTTAGCCACATGACCCAGATTACTGGCTACAGACGAATACATTTACATTAATTTATCAAACTTGGTGCTTACAAATGTACCTAAACCTTGTGTTACTTTTTATCCCAAATAATATATAAAAAGTAGACACGTCTTGCAATTTTCGATTGAACTTTGTAACCTTAACCTTATTTAGTGGTGTCGTTGAGATGTCATCGGATCTAAGTTTAATAATATTCATACTATGAACCATAAACTATGAAATAAATAAGTTTGTAAATTGTAATAAAATAGTTGTATTTTTCAACCAAGTCTTGGCAAGTTTGATAATAACAAAATTACAGAATGTTTTAATAAGAATCAATTGTTTATCAAATTCATCATCCTTGTTAACTATTATGATGTAATAATACCCCCACGTAAAGACAAGTCGCAATATGTCCACACGACTAGCAGACAAGACATGTGCGTGTCATATGGCTATTGGGCTGTATTTGCTCACTTTTTGCACGATAACTTTAATAAAATAGTAGCCGACATGCCAAAGCATTGATTAGATAACATACCTGTATCAGGAAAAGGGATTTTTCACTCGGCAATTTAGTGTTTTTTATTTAGGTTAAGTTTAGAGTACAACAGGTTTCGTTAAATTTAAATGATGGTAATCATAATATACATTTAATTATAGGTAGTTATTTTAGTGTACTATTTAAATTGTAACTAAACAATATTAAACTTTGTGAAATATCTATAAAACAACTTAAATTGATTGCATTTTAGACCAAGTGTTCTAATTTAGATAATTTTATTAATTCTATTTCTTTGCTCCCAGACCAGTACCGTCAATGGTTTAACGATGCTCTTCGATGTTATTATACCGTAAGGGTTTTTTTTATCATATTTAAAGATTCGTCTATTTTCATCCTTCATCCAAAGTACGACATACCTTCACATGAAACCTTCACTTTAAACTCTAAGCATTATGTATAACATTGACTACGCCTGGTTATTTCAAATACCGTACCGTTTAACATTGTAGCTGAGTTTATGTCACAGCTTTTTATCGCTTCAACCATTATATCGATGAAATGTCGATATAACCTCTTTATGTATCGATTATAGAGCACGAGGCAATTCTTGTAAAAAACGGCGTTTAGCTATTGAATGTTGCGTCCGACGCATGTGACAAAGAAACGGGATTTACAAATATCTAACGAGAATGTAGCGGCTCGTGACAAGTTAATTTAATAAAAACCACATAGTTTGCAACACAAGTTGCAACGCTGCAACAAGGACATCCCGCTTGTCACTAGGATATAAATATAGGTCAACGTGTTTATTTAAACACTGAATACATGTAGAAAGTTATATAATATTGGAGTCAAATAACTAAATTAAAACAAATCCACAATATATTGGTTAATTTGAGTAACAATGCTAACAAAATAGCTTTTACGTTTAATGTTAATATTGACTAACCGAAACAATAAAACATTTCATGTACTTGAATATGAATGTAAAATAAATAAACAGATCTCAACAATAAGTAAAATTGCCTGTTTTGTTTTCAAATATATACCTGATCCTTGATGTACTTAAGAACTTTCTATTGACAGGCAGTTTGCATAGCAATCGATGTTTAAAAGTACGTCGTACTTATATGTTACATTTTAAGAGGATCCTAGAAAGACTATTCGATACAACAGAAAATAAATAAATATATATGTTTTTTAAGCCAAAATGTTAGTAATATCACTTGAGAACCTAAAACTTATAGTAATTCTATTCTATTGACATTATTACTTTGCTCTATCAATAGACGTCGTCATATCGAGTTAATATTATTGCACAACATTGTAACAACGGCCACATAAAACCAGATAATTTACCCTTTTTACTGCTAACGCGTGCTTTCTTCACAGCACTAACACAAGAGTCGCTTATTTGGGTATTCACTTTCATACCAACTATTAAATGAGCTTTGAACTAAGTATACAACTCAACTGATGCAGAATTTATGATGGTAGACGACCACTGCTTTAAAGCTATTTATAACAACGGCGCCTTTGTGAATTTTAATATTTTAAAGACAACTTTTTTTAACTTTATGTTTTAGTTTGCCTTTTATTATTTACTAGGTTGTGACATAAACAAAATAAAATATGAGATGAAACTAAGAACGTTCTTAATTTCAGTTTTAAGATTTGGTATTTGAGTAAAAATCTTTAAAATTGTAATAATTCCAATTTAGGTACATTGTTTACCTCAGCTTAATTAGCATATTTGTTTGAAAATTTGAAACAAAATTCAGGCAGTTGAGGCAGTCTGCTAAACATAGAAATAATAATCGCTCATAAGATAAGCCAAGGATCGCACGGCTTTTGCGATAAGCTTAGTAAACTACGCATTATACAATTTTAGTCGTAGTCTCACCCACCTAAACATCAAATCGCAAGAAATTTCGGTAATCTTTAGGGATTTCTATTTTAGTATTTATAAATATTCAAATACTCTAAAGCTAAACATATAATTAGGTTGCTTTTCCGTTCTCCTTCATAGATTACTAAAAGCTTATTAAGCAAGGGGTGCCTCAAGGACGAGTTCTAGGGTCCCAGTTTTATATATATTGAATTCAAGAACGAAGGACGTCGTAAAGGCGTCGTTGCTCGTCTGTCTGTCGGTTCCGAGTAATCGCACACTTCCTATGGATATGCTAATTGTGGGAGTCGGCACGCAAGTCCCGAGCCACCCTATTCGATATAACGTTGGAGTATTTTGCTGTCTGATTTTAATTTTAGCTTAAATAGTAGCTATAGTAGTAGTAGCTTGTATAACAATGAACTACGCAGAAAAACTAAGGGTTGACAAATCTGATTCATCATAGTTTGTAATCTCAGTAGGATCATTGACCGCGAGAAGCCGATGCACGCGTTCCAACCAAGCTGTGAAACAGTAACACAATTTCTCATGTCATTGTACGATTTTTCTATTTCGTCGTAATTGTCACATCTGAAGTGCATAAAACACATTGGCAAATTTTTGAATATAATGGTGTGTTTCACCTTTCAAATTGTATGTACGAAATAAACATTTTTGAAACACTCCTGTTTTATATTATTCAAGTCGCGTGATTTCGACTAGGCTATTGCCATATCGCATGTTTTAGCTCTACATTTTTGTATGTCGTAACTATTTCAGATATGATATTGAAATTTCTGCTATTTATATAACTTAATCATATTTCTGCCCAAGTTATTGTTGAAAATCACACGACTTTTGCAATATGTAAGCTATAAATTTGCAAAATTTTACACAAGACAGTAATTTCATGCGACAGCTAATTAAAAATAAAACGGAATAACGGAAATGGAGAATCATTTAGATAAATTATATTTATTTTGATACATTCCGTATGTAGCTTTCTTATATAATTGTATCAAATTGAAACACATCAAAATAAGCATGTAAACATTTATAGACTCAAAACAAAACAGATTCAAAATAAAATTTTATAATTATGACAATTACTTATATAGGGATTTTACTATTAATTATATTTGACTTTAAACATAAGGAATATGCCTTTCAAAGCAATCGAATTTTCAATGTCAATAGATTTTTCATTTTGAGCGACTTCGTCTATGTAATATAATTGAAACGAAATTTCAACTAGGAACTTCAAAATATACTGTTGTGACAAATCTAACCAAAACTGATAAAAATCGATTCAGTAGCTAGAGCGTAAAAACGTACCAAATAGACAGAGTTACTCTCGAATTTATAATGTAGAGATTACTTTTCTCCTAAAATTTGCTAATTGAAAGTAATTAATATAGGACTAACATTTATGATTGCAAAGAACGCGTGACTGGGGCATTATCGACCTACAGTTCAACGCACTGTACTTACCAATTTCGGTTTTCTTATAGGATATCTTAGATCTACGCAATTTATTATCCGAATTTAATGCCAAATTTTTTATGTAAATTAATTTTGTTTGTTCTTCTGGTATCCTAGAAACTATACTTCGATCATAATTTTGGAAAGCTATACTTGACTAAGCCTACAATTTCATGTAACATGATAAACCGAAAACCTTTAGGAGAGGGCAAAGTGATGAATATAATGAATGAATTATAGTTTTGTTAATGTTTCAAAAAGGATTTTTAAGAAAACTAGGAGCGAGGAAAATATCGGAAATGCATCTAAGGTTAACGCATGACCTTTCCCAAAACATAGATCGTTTTATTAGCCATAAAAACGAGATCAGCATCCCTGTCATCGTTTGAGGCTTACCTGTTCTTTCCGTGGCCGATTTTGTAGAGTTCGACGTGCTTGAATTGGGCGTAGGTGGCCATTTTATTTTATTCTTATTAACACGAAGAGATTAACACTCGGGTTGAGTTCACTGCGCGGTACCGTCTCGCGGTGGGTCGGGTTGGTGCGTGCGTTAGCAACTGCGGTTGTCAGCTGACTGAGCGCGCGCGGCCAGTCCCCTTGCTTAAGTCGATGTTGCACCCTCCGCCCGCGCATGAAAAGTGAGCCGCGCATGCGTTCGCGTTTCCTCTTTTTTCTTTTTAGTTTTTTCTAAACACCTGGTGGAGTCGCCAGTCCTGTGACATATGCGCGCTGTGCGAACAGATGACAGTCTAACAGGTTAGGGGGTGCGTGCGTACATAAAAACTAAAGACGGATAGAAACCGGTAGGAAGACTAAAATTCGAGGCGTAACCGTAACGGGGTACAGCTGAATCATCCTTGTCGACTGCAGACAAGTTTTTGCGGTGAACGACATCTTTCAATTGATCTGGTAGTAGGTGATATAAAGCTCTAGGTATCTGAGACTCATTGTTTACAATACTTGTTTATTTGCGTTTGTATTAGTCATTTACAGTTACACGATAATCGTTTCAGTGGGTCCTATCCTAGAATAGATTGATCTATCCCGCAATGAAAATATGAAATTTATAATCTGATGAGCACAAATCTTTATTGCGGAGTTCGATATGATTCTATAAGTTATTAAGCTTAGTTAGAAATAAAACAATAACTGCCAGTTGTCCAGAATTTCATATTACAATCGAATACGATAGCTGTCAAAACTGTACCTTAACCGTATTCTCGACTTTGGTCATGGATGCAAAGGAAGGTAGGCCAAACTCTTTAAATATTCATCACTTCTCTTACTTACCCTCTCAGAAAGTTGTCATCTTTATATATAATACAAGCAGAATGACTGAGGTTATGCTCGAAGCTCTTTAGAAGGTTCCCAATCAGTCAACAGAGTACAACGTGGACATTATCCGACTTCAGTGTTGGTTTTGTGGACAGTCAGCTAATAAAAAGTGACTGAGGCATCTTTAAAAACATCTCATCATATAAAGTGCTATTTTAAGTTCTCTTCATTGGGAAGCCGTTGCTTTTGGTTAAGAAGGTGGTAAAGTCTCCTGACAACACAATGTTCCATGACCATGAATGGTCTTTTCAGGAATACTCAGCACCGGGTCATAAAGCACGATCCACCCAAGCGTGGTTGGAAACAAACGTTTCTGACGTCACAAAGCTGAAGACTGACCGTCATCTAGTCCCGACCTTAATTCGCTGTAATATGATTTATGGTCGGTTTTAGAGTATGGCGTGTTTTATACTCTAATGAACGCTTATTTGGAATCCCAAAAGCAACCCATACGATTGGCATGACAGTGAATTTTCCCATGGAGAGAGTGCGTGTTTCTGCTGATAACAGGCCACAATTAATAGCTAATGGGGACCATTTTGAATTAGCTTCATATATGTTTAATGTTATTACATTAACGTATTAACTAAAACACATTACAATAATACATGACTTATGCAATAGAAATAAAACCTTGTAACAACATTTATGGCAAGATAAAAATGAATCCCTATTTTCCTTGGTCACTCCATAGCTTGAGAACGATTTTATCGATTTCATCCACCTTTTTTAGTTTTATTATACTTTGTAAAAGTTTATACGCATTTAAATAAAAAAAAATCGTGTATAAATTTTAATGTGCGAGTTCCTTTGCACCAAAATCCACATTGAAATATTAAGAACTGGGAGCTTTTAACTTCAAATACTTATCTACTACAATAATTAACAAAACAAAAAACTATTTCGCAAAAACCAAATACAGAAACCAACTGCTGAAAAGTAGACCTCTTTTTTACTAACCTCGAAGATAAAGAACTATGTCAAGAAGATGAAAATAAATTTTCCAATTATATGTCCGGGAGTGCTTTCGCAACAGGCGGGCGCGAGTGCAACTAGGAGCCATCCGTTTGCGAGCGGCATGTCTCGATCTCCTACAAGTATTTCCCTGTTTCAACACCGCGCATTACGAGCAGGGTTGCCAGTTTTCAGCCTCAAATTTCTGGCCTGTAAGTTACTTCTTCACACCTCTTTTAACAGTCAACCCACCTCGGAGACGCTAAAATGCAATTTAAAACTCATTTTAGCAAAAACAATAAACCGTAAAAAAAACTTGTAGTTACTACTATATATTTGAGCAGAAGTCATTATTTTTTGTATCGGAAACTAGAAAAACCAATCAATGTCAATCTATATATCTCAGCTAAAATACCTTAATCAAACTCAAACTGCGACAGTTTGACAGTTTAGTGTAATATATCTCAAACGGACCCAGCATTATTCTACCATTTTGTCGGCGTATTCGGTATACATATTTCCACAATATTATAACTCTCTAGTGCTAATAGCCTCCAAGCAGAATCAGGGACGGACAGACGGACATGACGAAACTGTAAGGGTTGATTGTCAGGACTACGGAATCCTAAAAACAATATTTGCGAAAAAAATATTTTAAATCTATGTCACTGAGCTTTTTTGCTGAAAAAAGCTGGATTTTTTAGATCTGATAACCCTGGTTACTAAACGATGCATACGAGAGTCATGACATTTCTATTTACGTCACATTGTTCAAAGGGCTTCAATATTTACAAGTTTTAACAGATGCAATGGTTTCATAATAACTAAAAAGTTGTTTTATTATTTTACTTTTATTGATGACTAGCCTGTGCCCCGCGGTGTTACCTGCAGTTTATTAGAAATATTTTCCTGCAGTTAAACGTAGTCTATGTTTTAATCCCGGGTATCAGCTAACTCCATACCAAAATTTATTAAAATCGCTTCAGCCGTTTAGACGTGAAGAAGTAACAAACATACACACTCACACTCTTTCGCCTTTATAATATTATAGTGTGGCTAGCTTTCGCCCGCGACTTCGTTCACGATATAGTAAGTTTTTTTGAGCATCCCACAGGAACCTCAAAAATTCAGGGATAAAAATTATCGTTCGTATCTCTCAATCCAGCTGTCAAATGACGTGTGCCGTTTTTACGTGATTGAGTGACGAATATCCAAACAGGATCGAACTAATAGGATTTCTACTTTTTAATTAATAACATACAGAGTATATTTATATAACATAGCACGAAGACGAGATGACAGCCATCACAGTCAAAATTAGTACCCAATTCGCCAGTAAGTACCTACATTTACTATTATTAAAATATAACTAAGTGTGTGTTTCTAAAGCTTATACACCTTTCGCAAAGTCGGCGATCAGATACGTATATGGTTTTGTACCCGAAAAATGTTCACTCAACTCATCCATTATTTGAAAGATACATTTACAGCCCTTTAGGTAGTTTAACCACCGCGGCTGTCGCCTTCTGTGTGGTAAGGACGCTGTAGCAGTGCCGTGGTACACACTTAAATAAAATGCGCAAATCCGGGTTACAGACTGTATATTGCAAAGCACGTGGAAATTATTTAACACAAGGTGACGTGAGGTGTCGTCAAACATAGATCGCGGACTGGCGGCGGGAAGCCGCTGCGTAGTGCTCGCAGGCACCGTTATAGAAAAATATCAAAATACCTTAAAATAATAATATAAAAATTACAAATAAAAAAATGTATGAGCGCGTCGCTAACACTCCCCCCCTAGTGCTGGAACAGCACTAAACACTCAACGAGATAGGAGCGACGCAAGCTGCTGACCGACGCAGCACACCCTATTTACATCGACTACTCTCACACGATTGTTCCAGGGTACGTACGCAAAATTATACCTTTTGGCTAAACGTTACGCGGTGAAGATGGGTCTACCACGAAAACGCAGTCACTAACCTGAAGAGAATGCTGCTTCTCATTCCATTTTCTGCATGTTGCAGATCGCGATGAGCGCGCCGCTAACTTACGCCTGTGACGGGCTTGGGGTGGACAAACGGCTATGGTAAATCTATGATCGCTCCCTCGGCACCGTCATCACGTTCTGGTTGACGTCCCGGCGACGGCGGTGGTGAACAAGATTATTTTTGGGGCCGTATTTAAGTTTTTTTTTTGCGAATAGGCTTATAAAAAGTGCCTTTACACGTCTTAGTTTTACTTTATTCCTATCACTGCTTCAGGACAATACATGAGCCAGACTTGAATTGTTGTTTAAATATCGTATTTGAATTTCTTAGCCGCTACTTTTATTCTATGATAGACAAAATAAAAACCGGGCGGAAGACTTTAGAATGTGGGCAAGAACAAATGTGTTTAGTACCGGCTGTTGGCGACACATCGGCCCATCATAGAACCGTGCCGAGTTCTAAGCCGGTAACAGCGAACTACACGAAACTTCGGCGGCCGGGATGACGATGCTCGGCAGACGGACGTGGACACGCGGTTATAATAATCTATGTATTGCTACTTGGACTCCGCCTTCTCGTTCTCGTTGACGTCCCGGTGACAGCCGCAGTGGTCATACGCTCTTAGTCTTATCCGGCTGCATCATCAGTCACTTATACAGACATATTGAGCCCACACCTAAAGTGATGGCGCAGGGCAAATTGTATTTCTCTAACACCTGCCACGATAATGTTTAATTTTAAATTAGGAATATATTTACTAACTTCACGCTTATAAATGTTCAACCAACTGATAATGCTCGCGAAGCGTGTTTTTGCCTGCGAAGGATTGAATCCAAGACATCGCTAATATCAAAGTTAAATACTTATATTGAAAAGACCATAAGATGTGTAAGTTAGACAATTAGCCCTCCACTCTTCATGAGTGCTTCTATCCGTGAAAAAGTGTGCAGCAGTGAGGACATCCATTCAATTTTCTATACATAATTTTACCTACCTATTACATTAAATGATTACATGTTCATGTTATAATTGTCCCTTCAACATTGTAAACATACAGTTATTTTTTCAGAACATGTAATTTTGTTATTATGTAGCACTGGAAAGAGGGAAGAGTACTGATTTTCTGAGATACAGGCTGCGGCATAGTTCAGATACCAGTCTCCCCACAATTTTGTCTTAAAGAAATTTATTAAGTTTGTATTTTTTAGTGCATGGGATTGTTTGGAGAAGAAATGAAGCATTATTATTTTATAACAGACTAGTAGACACTGAAGATAGTATATGTATTGTAAAAAATGAGATAGAAATTC